GGGGTAAGACGCAGCAGCAGTGTTTGCAAACCAAAGGACACAAGTGGAAACCTCGGTGTGACGTGCCTCATATCCGTGCACTGCCTGCCACTAACACATAGAGGTGGGACAGACCTTGGCTCACTGCAGCCCTGGGAAGCGGTCACTTGCTCATAAGCACCAGGTCTACCAGAGATGCCCTCAGGGGTGCCCGTTAAATACCAGCTGTGAATGGCCAGAGCTGCCCTGTGGGTCCTGTGCTGCCCATGTCAGCTCCATGCTCCAGTGGTGCTGGGCAGCGTTGGCATCTCAGGTAGCACTGCAGGCCAGGAATTGGCATTAAATGGAGCAGCTGCCCTGAATTTCATTAGGCAATGTAGGGATGTCCATGAGACAAGTGCCGTTACAGTCCCTGGAGATGGAGGGAAAACTAGATGGAGAGAGAGACTCAGCTCTCCCTGTGGCACAGTTCTCCATTGGGTCAGGTGGATGCCTCTACAGGCTGCCCTGAGCCTACTGAGGAGGGACAGGTTTAGTTGTCTTAAATGGGTGCATTTGCTGTCATTTCAGCTGGCCAAAGGCATTCCTCACCAGCCTCCAATGGGATGCCCCCAGGTGCTGCCCTGTCCCTCAGGGTACCTCCATGAGAGCTCGCAGATGCCTGCACGTACCTCTGCCCCCTGACATGTCACCAGGTGTTTGCAGCCCCCTGATTTCCTCCATCTCCATTAATGATCCTGGAGCTGAGATAAGGAGCTCACCTGCAGCTGCCCACATGGTGCACATCAAAGTGAGTGCAGAGGAATCCCAGGTCCTGTGGGTTTGTGGCAGGCATGGGAGGGATCTGAGTCCCATTCCAGCCCCAGGACAAAAACCCATCATGAGATGATGGGTTAACTGGCTCTGCTGAATCCCTTCCTTAACCAGGGGGTTAGAAGAGTTACATCTATGACCATGTGAGGGTGTCCCACCATCAACTGGCATGAGAAGAGAAGACTGCTACAGATAATAATTTTTTTGCTAAGAGAAATGAGCCAAATGTCAAGAGGTGTGTGTGCCAGGTGAGGGAGGGAAGCCCAGGGATCCCTTCAGGCTGTTTGCCAGCAGGTTCCCCTGAAGCCCCAGGGCCATGTGCAGGGAGCCTGGTGGGGGGCAGAGCAAGGGAGGCCTTGGGCTGGGCCTCTGCTGCTGAGCTGGGCCGGGCTCCTGGGCCCAAGGGGAGCTCCTGGCAAGCGGGCAGCGCTGCAGAGAGACAGCTCTGCCCAGGAGCAGCTCCTCTGCACAGTGCAGCAGGGCTGGGGCACTGCCTGCAGCTGGCACTGGGAGGGGGGAGAAGGGAAAGAGAGGTTACGGGCTGTTTGGAACATGAGAATACTATGAGCTCAGAGGAGGAGAAATCTTCCTAGCATGTAACACGGTAAGTGTCTTTCTGTAGTGTATTGCACAGGAATATCAGGGAAGGTTTCAAGACTGAGAACTTCCCTTAGAAGATCAGACCAGATGCACTTGGTATTTCTTTAGTGTGGAAAAGCACAAGCTCCAGCCCAGGGGTTCCCTACTGCAGGGTCAGTGTCCAGGTCCGGAGGGTTCCCTTGTCTCAGGATGGCTGCAGGCTGTGAAGCCAGGGCTGCAGGCAGGGGTGTCCAGGGCTGTGGTGCAGAGCAGGGTCCCTGCTGTGCCCCAGGGGCTGTGTGCCGGGGCAGGGCCTCTGCCACCTGCCAGGCTCAGCACTCAGCCTGCCCGGGGAGCTGCCCAGGACGCTGCAGGGAGAAGCTGTGGGTGGAAGGAGCCCCCTTGGCAGGGCAGGGTCCTGCTGCTGGTGGGAGGCTGCTGCCTGGGGCAGCCAGCTCACAGCAACACAGCACATCTACAGGGTATTTCCCACAGGTTTTTCATTAGCATTGTCAAGGCAACAAATATTTTAAAGACATAGAGCTTTCTTGACTCTCTCTTTTCTGTTTCCATTTGCTGAGGAAGCTGGGAGGATACATTAAGGGAAGAGAAAAAGTTCAGTTTGGGCAAGAGGCTGACAGCTCTTTCCCAGTTCAGACAGAAACCTGATAATGGCTTGTCACCATCTCTGTAGGCTGTCTGCACCACCATCATGTTTCTGGCCACTGAATCTTTTCTTCTCATCTGCTTTTCTGGACTATCAAACTGTTTATTGTCCCATCACGTGCCATGCTGCTCAGAGGTTTCTGCAGGGCAAATCTGAGTGCTCAGAGATACACAGATGGGAGAAGTCTGAGAAACAGCTGCAGGAATAAACAGCTCCAGGCACTGAAGATATGTCAGGGAAGGAGGGAGGTGCTGTACAGGGTAGATTTGGGCATCCTTCTCTCAGTTGCTGCAATGCAGATACCTTCTTCTATGTAAGTTCCCTCGTCCCCTCTCCCAGCCAAAACTACTTCTGCCATGAAGATCATAGAATGAATCCTATCAGAGAATGGTTTGTGTAGGAAGTTACTTTAAAGATCATTGAGTTCCCAATCCCCTGCCATAGGCAAGGGCACTTTCCACTAGACCAGGCTGCTCAAAACCTGGCCTTGTAAACTTCCAGGGTTGGGGCACCCACAACTTCTCCTGGCAACCTGTTCCAGTGCCTCACCACACTCTGAGTGAAGAATTGCCTCCTAATCTCTAATCTGAATCTGCCCTCTTTTAGTTTAAAACCACTCCCCCTTGTCCTATCATTATCTACCCAAGTAAAGAGTCCTTCTCCATCTTTTTTATACGTCCCCTTCAAATACTGAAAGGTGGCAATGAGGTCACTCCGAAGCCTTCTCTTCTTCAGGCCGAACATCACCAGCACTCTCAGCCTTTCTTCATAGGAGAGGTGCTCCAGCCCCTTGATCATCTTTGTGGCCCTCCTCTGGACCCACTCTAACAGCTTCACATTCTTCTTGTGCTGGGAACTGCAGACCTGGAGACAGTACTCCAAGTTGGGCCTCACCTGGGCAGAGCAGAGGGGGACCATCACCTCCCTCGACCTTTTGGCCACTCCTCTGTTGATGCAGCCCAGAATGGAGTTAGCCTTCTGGGCTGCAGGCAATCACTGCTGGATCGTGTGGGGCTGATCATGGTGTCCAGGGCATGAGCTGCCATGTCTGCAACCAGAGCCCCAGAAGAGGAGAGGTGCCTCTTGGTGGGCATGCTCCCCTTTCCTATTGCATGACAGAGGGGTTGCCAGTGACTGCTCAGCATCCCTGGGGTCTGTTCACAACTGGGTGAGGCTTTCTGGGGGGGGTTCTCTGCCTCTTTGACTTCCACTGAGTGAGCAATGTGATATTTCCCCACATTTTCTCCACCCGTTCATGCTGCTCCTGCTATTGTGTTCAGGCTCTCTAGGGATGGGGTTTCAGGTGCAGTTCCAAAAATGACCCTGAACATCCTGCCACAGATGTGTCTGCATAGCAATGGGGTGTTCCATCACCCATCTGACTTCTGGGACCACAGACAATGCAGTGCAAGACGGTGGGTAATATGCCAACGATCTCTTCAGAAGACCTCATCTTCTGCCATTTCCCTGTTTTCTAATCTGTGTCACCTGGGCAGTGCAGTTGACAGGGCATGGGAAATAAGCAGGCTTTCCACCTTACGAAACTCATCAGCCTCCTTGTGGTGTCAAGTCAAGCTATTCTCCACAAGGGCGCAACTTGGTCTGGCTGTCTGAGTGAGGAGCCATCTCCCATTAGTCTCTGCACATCTGGGCTGAGAAGGAGAGAGAGAGGAGATTGGAGAGCTGCACTTTGGATCTGGACCCCCCCTGCTATGTTCTGTTCCCTTTCAGAGAAACTTCTGAGTGTGGTCATCCTAGCACTTAGAGAGGAAGGATGGGGCAAAGGTAGGAAGAAGACCAATGGAGAGACCAGACCTTCTGATGCTGCACTAAGGCCCAGGGTACACTTCTGACTCTCAGGACTCGCTAGTGTTCAGGTTGAAAGAAATCCAAGTGCTTTGGATTTCCCCTCTGTCGTGGTTTCAGCTAGGATAGAGTTAATTTTCCTCCTAGTAGCTGGTAGGGTGCTGTGTTTGGGATTTAGGATGAGAATAATGTTGATATCACACTGAATTTTTAATTGTTGCAGAGAAGTTCTTCCACTAAGCCAAGGACTTTTCAGCTTCTCATGCTGTCCTGCAAGCAGGCAGTCTGGGAGTGCAGCGGGAGCAGGGAGGGGACAAAATCAGGACAGCTGACCCAAACCGGCCACAGGGGTATTCCATACCATCTGACATCATGCTGAACAATTAATATAGGGGGGCTGGCTGGGTGGGGGGACTGGCTGCTGGGGGATAGGCTGGGCATCAGTCAGCAGGTGGTGAGTAATTGCATTGTGCATCACTTGTTTTCTAAACATTAACAGTAGTAGTACTAGAATCACTATAATTATTATTTTCTTTTCTTTTCTGTCCTAATAAACTGCCTTTATCTCAACTCACAGGCTTTCATTTCTTTCTAATTCTCTACCCCATCCCAGAGAGGGAAGGGGGAGGGTGAGCAAATGGCTGTGTGGCCAGCAGGGTTAAACCACAACACCCTCTTTTAATGAATGTGCGTCTGATGTGACAAGGAATGCAGACAGTGTATCACTAAGTTTCAGAGGTTTCTGCAACAAACTGAGTAGGTTTCACTCAAAGACGTCTGTCCAAAACTGTCACTGCATTTTCCTTCTTCAACAGGTCCCCATTCCCAGGGGAATCAAATGTCCAACAGTAGCTCCATCACCGAGTTCCTCCTGGCATTCACAGACACACGGGAGCTGCAGCTCCTGCACTTCGCGCTCTTCCTGGGCATCTACCTGACTGCCCTCCTGGGCAACGGCCTCGTCCTTACAGCCATAGCCTGCAACCAACGCCTCCACACTCCCATGTACTTCTTCCTCCTCAACTTTGCCCTCCTCGACCTGGGCTGCATCTCCACCACTGTCCCCAAAGCCATGACCAATTCCCTCTGGGGATCCAGGGCCATCTCCTATGCAGGATGTGCTGCACAGGTCTTCCTGTTTGTCTTCTTGTTTTCAGCAGAATATTCTCTTCTTACTGTCATGGCCTATGACCGCTATGTTGCCATCTGCAAGCCCCTGCACTATGGGAGCCTCCTGGGCAGCAGAGCTTGTGCCCAGATGGCAGCAGCTGCCTGGGGCAGTGGGATTCTCAATGCTCTGCTGCAAACTGGTAACACATTTTCCCTGCCCCTCTGCCAAGGCAATGCCGTGGACCAGTTCTTCTGTGAAATTCCCCAGATCCTCAAGCTCTCCTGCTCACACTCCTACCTCAGGGAAGTTGGGCTTGTCATGGTTAGTGCATGCTTTGCTTCTGGATGTTTTGTGTTCATTGTGCTCTCCTATGTACAGATCATCAGGGCCGTGCTGAGGATGCCCTCTGAGCAGGGACAGCACAAAGCCTTTTCCACATGCCTTCCTCACCTGGCCGTGGTCTGCCTGTTTGTCAGCACTGGAGCTTTTTCTTACCTGAAGCCCCCCTCCATCTCCTTCCCATCCCTGGACCTGGTGGTGGCTGTTCTGTACTCGGTGGTACCTCCAGTGCTGAACCCCCTCATCTACAGCTTGAGGAACGAGGAGCTCTTGAATTCTGTGAAGAAAGTGATTTCCTGGAGTTTTCTCAATAGTTATAAAATTATTGCCTCTTTCCATAAATGACTCCCAGCATATCTGATGTCAGACCTGTGTTTTGCTTGTTTTCATTTTTATAGGTAAGTATGGTTTTTCTGTTCCTGCACACTTGGGGATTTCTCTCACTTCACAGAATCACAGAATCACAGAATTTCTAGGTTGGAAGAGACCTCAAGATCATCGAGTCCAACCTCTGACCTAACACTAACAAATCTTCCACTAAACCATATCACTAAGCTCTACATCTAAACATCTTTTAAATACATCCAGGGATGGTGACTCAACCATTTCCCTGGACAGCCTATTCCAGTGCCTGGGAAGAGTACAGGGATGCAGTCCAGATGTGCAGGGATGGCATAAGGAAAGCCAAAGCATGGATGGAACCGAGCTTGGTGAGGGATGCAAAGAATAACAAGAAGGACTTCTATAGGTACTTTGCTCTGGAAAGAAAGGACAAGGAGAGAGTATCTCCTCTGATGGATGAGAATGGTGAACTGCTAATAACAAACATGGAGAAGGCTAAGGTACTCAACAATTTCTTTGCCTCAGTCTTCACTGCCAGTCAGGCTTTCAAAGTCTTTTGTTCTCTTAACCTCTAGATGGAGGCTGGGGGAGCAAAGTTGCACACACTGTAAGTGAAGAGGAGGTTTGAGACCACCTGATGTAACTAAACAAGTACAAATCTACAGGGCCTGCTGACATGCATCTGAGGGTCCTGAGGGAATTGGCTGATGTAGTTGCCAAGTCACTCTCCATCATATTTGAAAAGTCGTGGCAGTAAGGCAAAGTCCCTGGTGACTGGGAAAAGGAAAGAGGGAAACATCACTCTTAATTAGGCTAGAAAGGAAGACTGGGGGAACTACAGAAGGGTAAGCCTCACCTCTGTGCCTGGCAAGATCATGCAATGGGTCCTCTTGGAGGCAATGTTAAGGCACATGCAGGACAAGGAGGTGATTTGGGACAGCCAGCATGGCTTCACCAAGGGCAAATGGTGCCTGAGCAATCTGGTGGCCTACAATGGAGTGACAGTATCAGTTGACAAGGGAAGACTGACCAATGTCATCTACCTGGACCTCTTTAAGGCTCTTAAAACAGTTCTACATGACATCCTGATCTCCAAGTCGGAGAGGTATGGATTTGATGGCTGGACCATTCAGTGGATAAGGTGTTGGCTTGAAGGTCGCACTGGGAGAGTAGTGCTCGAAGGCTGTATGTCCAAGTAGAGGCTGGTGATGAGTGTTATCCCTTAGGGGTCTGTCCTGGGACTGATATTGTTTAATACCTTTATCAATAACATAGACAGTGGGATTGAGTGCACCCTCAGCAAGTTTGCTGATGACACTAAGCTGAGTGGTGTGGTTGATACAATAGCAGGAAGAGACGCCATCCAAAGGGACCTGGACAGGCTTGAGAAGTAGGCCCACATGAACTTAATGAGGTTCAACGAGTCCAAGAACAAGGTGCTGCAACTGGGCCCGGGAAATCCTGGATGTGAGTACAGACTAGGAGAAGAACTCACTGAGAGCAGGCCTGCAGAGAGGGACTTGGGGGTTTGGGTGTATGCAAGGCCCAACATGAGCTAACAGTGAGCTCTTGCAGCCCAGAAGGCCAACTGCATCCTGGGCTGCATCAACAGATGAGTGGCCAGCAGGTCAAGGGAAGTGATGGTCCCCGCTCTGCTCTGCCCAGGTGAGGCCCAACTTGGTGTGCTGTTTCCAGGATTCCAGCTCCCAGCACAAGAAGGGTTTGGATCTGTTAGAATAAGTCCATTTTCTGTCCTAATAAACTGTCTTTATCTCAACCCACATGCTTTCATTTCTTTCTGCTTCTCTCCCCCATCCCAGAGACAGCGGGGGGTGAGTGAGCGAATGGTTCTGTGGAGCTTAGCTGCCAGACGGGTCAAACCACAACACCCGCAATTAAAATGACTGTTGGGACCCTGAGAAACTCATGCTGGGTCATGTGTGACAAACTCAGACTGAAAGATTCTAGAGCAGGTGACTTTGAGTGGCTGTGGCAGATCCCAGCATCTTGCTCCAGTCTGGGAATACGTCCCCTTCCAACTAGGGAAATTAGAAGGCATTAATATGAACACAACCAACACAGGTTCAGCTGAAGTGAAAGCCCCAACCCAGGACAATGGAGTGAAGGTCCCTGGGCACAACTGCAGAAAGACTTTGCAAGACCTCTGCCAGTGACAGCTCAAAGCACCAAATGCATCTTGGTGGTAGTAGGTCCTTTTGGCACATGGGCAGATGTCCTCCCTGGCAAAACCACCACGGAGGCCACCACTGCAAAGCTGCTGCATAACACCGACTTTTGTCCCCAGGGTCCAGACAGGGGAGAGGGAAGGGGAGAGGCAGGCCATGGGGAGGGGGCTGGAGTGAGGTCACTGCCACTGCAGCAGCCTGACTGGCCCTCAGAAGGGCTGGCCGGCAGCCACTGTGACATCATCCCGCGCATCAGAGAGCTCCCTGGGCAGCAATGACGTCACTGCAGAGGGGAGGGCGAGGGGCTGGCAGAGCCCCATCGAGGGGCTGGCTGGGGGTCCCCTCTGCTGCAGCCACCTGGCGGTGCGGGGCAGGCTGGAGGGCAGGAAGGGTTCGTGGCCACCTTGCTCAGGACGAGCCCTGGGTGAGCTGGGTGAGAAATCTGAGCCAGCTCTTCTCTTTGCTCTTGACTTTTCTTGGCAACACCACTTCCAGGTGAGCTCTGCACTTTTTTTTTTTGCCGAGGCGATCGGCTCCGGGGCAGACGCGTTCTGCGGCGGAGCGGGGGATCGGGCCAGGCAGGGCTAACTTTCCGGCATCGAGCCGACTTCAGGGAGCCGCCAGGAGCCGGCAGCCCTCGTGAGGGAGGCTGACGAGGCGAAGGCGGAGCCAGCAGCGCCCCCTGCCCGGCCGTTCAAAAGCAGCCCCTAGGGAGCGCGAGCGACCAGGAGCGCGGCGAACAGGACGGGCAAACAGGGCGTGGCGCGTCAGAAGGGAGTGGCGCGGCAGTTAGCGCGGCAGTTCGCGCAGGCAGGGCGAGCAGGAAGGGAGGAGAGCAACACCCTCCCACACGAGCACCTGTTAACGACAGTCGTTAGCTAGGTGAGAATGGTCTCCACCAGGCACGGAGCGCTCTGCAGGAGGTCTGTACACACCCAGACCGAGTACCCGCTAAAGAATGCAGCGGTTCAGGTCACAGGGTGCAGGGAGTGTCAGAGCCTGTTCCTGCCATCGGCAGGAGGCAGAGACGCTGCGTGTGTTAGGTGTGAGCAAGTGGATGACCTGATCCGCATGGTGGCGGAGCTCAAGGAGGAGGTGGAGAGGCTGAGGGCCATCAGGGAGTGTGAGCGGGAGATTGACTTCTGGAGCAACTCCCTGCAGGGCATCAAGGAGAGGTACCGGGGTGAGACACCCCAAATGGGGGTGGACACCCTGCCCAGTCGCCGTCGGGCAGAGGGAGGGGATCTGGGAGCTGAGGAGGAATGGAAACAGGTCCCTGCTCGACATCGCAGGCGATGCCCTCCTCTTCCGACCCCACCTTCCCAGGTGCCCTTACAAAACAGGTTTGAGGCCCTGGAGAATGAGAGATCAACAGAGACTGAGGAAGAGGTACAAAGTGTTCCCAGGAGGACTCCTAGGGTGAGGAGGTCAACTCCACACATCAGGACTGCCTCCGCCAAGAACGAAAGAAGGGTGATTGTTGTGGGTGACTCTGTCCTTAGGGGAACAGAGGGCCCTATTTGTCGGCCTGACCCTACCCGTAGGGAGGTCTGCTGCCTCCCTGGGGCCAGGGTCAGGGACATTGCCAAGAAGGTCAAGCACCTGGTACGGCCCACTGACTACTACCCGCTATTGGTCTTTCAGGCTGGTAGCGATGAAGTAGCAAAGAGGAGTCCGAAGGCGATCAAAAGAGACTTTAGGGATTTGGGGCGACAACTTAGAGGTTCAGGCGCGCAGGTTGTGTTTGCCTCTGTCCTTCCGATAGGGGGGATGGAAGCTGAAAGGTGCGCTGTTCGCATAAACTCGTGGCTTCGTGACTGGTGTGACCGGCACAACTTTGGGTTCTTTGATCACGGGAAGGTCTATGCTACACCGGGCCTGATGGCACCGGATGGGATGGGCCTCTCTCGGAGAGGGGTAAGGATCTTGGGTCAGGAGTTGGCAGGGCTGATAGATAGGGCTTTAAACTAGAGTCGAAGGGGGAAGGGGCTAAAACCAGGCACGCCGGTGAAGACCTAAGGGATGGTACGCTAGAATCAGAGGGGCTGTGTGCCAGTGAGGTCCTTCGGTTCGATCCACAAGGTGCTGAGTGTAAGGAGTCGCACCTGAAATGCTTCTACACAAACGCACGCAGTATGAGGAATAAAATGGATGAGCTAGAAGTCCTGGCCCAGTCCCGCAACTACGACATCATCGGCATAAGCGAAACCTGGTGGGATGAGTCCTGTGACTGGGGTGTTGCGATAGACGGTTACAGGCTCTTCAGGAGGGACAGGCAGGGTAGGCGAGGTGGTGGGGTGGCGATGTATGTGAAGCAGGGGCTGGACTGTGTGGAACTTCAGATCGGCGATGGCAAAGTTGAGAGCCTCTGGGTAAGGATCAAGGGACGAACGAATAAAGGGGATGTCGTTGTGGGAGTCTATTACAGACCGCCTGGCCAGGACGATAGCGCCGATAACTTATTCTTTATAGAACTAAGAGAGGCCTCGAGATTAACTCCCCTTGTCCTTATGGGGGACTTCAACTTGCCAGACGTTAACTGGGAGTGCCACACGGCTGACACGACCAAGTCCAGGAGGTTCATGAAGCACCTAGATGATAACTTTTTGGTGCAGGTGCTAACGGAGCCAACTAGGAAAGGTGCCCTCCTAGACCTGTTGCTAGAAAACAGAGAGGGTCTGGTGGGAGATGTGGTGATTGGTGGCCGCCTCGGTCATAGCGACCATGAAGTGGTTGAGTTCAAAATTTACGGTGACAGAAGGAAAAGTGCCACCAAAACCTCATCCCTAGATATGGGGAAGGCGGACTTCAGGCTGC